GGACAAACCCTGTTATGCTGAATTCGTATTTTGCACAATTTGTATACGGTGTTTGATAATGTGTGGTTTGCTATGCCTAATAAAGGATTGACCTTTTAAAGATCCTCAGTGCAGTTTGGGGTTTGTAGTCAACTAAGTAAAGAATAGGGACACGGGTGGCGCTGTGGGTAAAAGCCTCAGCGCCTAGGGCTTGCCGATGGAAAGGTCGGCGGTTCGAATCCCCGTGGCGGGGTGCGCTCCCGTCGTTCGGTCCCAGCGCCTGCCAACCTAGCAGTTCGAAAGCACCCCCGGGTGCAAGTAGATAAATAGGGACCGCTTACCAGCGGGAAGGTAAACAGCGTTTCCGTGTGCTGCGCTGGCTTGCCAGATGCAGCTTTGTCACGCTGGCCACGTGACCCAGAAGTGTCTCCGGACAGCGCTGGCCCCCGGCCTCTTAAGTGAGATGGGCGCACAACCCTAGAGTCTGGCAAGACTGGCCCGTACGGGCAGGGGTACCTTTACCTTTTAAGTAAAGAATAGATCCATAAAAACTTAACAGCCCTATGTTAGTCATGCCTATGTTACACCAGTGGTGGTGTAGTTGGTTAGAGTGTCACACTAGGGCTTGGGGGACCAGAGTTCGAATCCACCACTTCGTCATGGAACTCACTGGGTGATCGTTGGGCCAGTCATTCACTTCCAGCCTAAGCTACTTCACAGGGTTGTAGGGATTAACTTAGATGGGGGGTGGGGAGCCGTGTAAGTCACCTTGAGCTGCATGGAGAAGGTGGGATATCAATACAACAAATAAATATTAACAGCAATGTGTCTACTCTGAGTAGCACCTCCACAACCTACCACCTTTTGCCTTTGAGCAACCAACCTACATCTCCCAGTCAAGCACTGTAGAAGTTGGCCTTGTTTTGGAGGCACATCAGGGTATATTAAGATGAAAGACTTCCTCAAGGAAGGCAGATGAAGATGTTGGAGTTTCTGGAGCTGGCTGACCTGACTGGAAGTATTCGCGAACATAAAGAGGAGGAATACCAAGAAGACTGGAGGAAATTTAAAGACTATTTAGCTAAATATTATAATATAATTGAGAAGGTTCTTGAAATTACTAAACAGGCCAAGGACAACAATAAGAATGTGGTATAATAATATGGATTTAAGACAATAAGAAAAGAGTTAAATATAGTTAATTGAAGTAACTAATTATCTAGCAAGATGTTTGGGAGAACTGTTACAAGGTGATATAATGAAATTTAGTTAGGGGGGATTTGAGGAAGTCACTTAACAATGGAATTTAAAATGAATATAAGAAAAATATGTGTTTTTATTTTTATTTTAGTTTGTTTGTTTGTTTTGTAATGTGTTTTGTTTTGTGTGTTTTATATGTTATATTTGTTATAAATGTGGAAAACTAATAAAAGCCTAAATCTTTACTTAACAAGCCCTGTGAGAGGCTGGATCAAAAACTATTTGCTCCCTTCGCCACCCAATGTATTGGTATCCAGGAGAAATCACTGACAGGTGATCCAAGGAGCCCCCAATACTCACCTTTTGGGGCCATTGGTCCAGGAGTGCCCTGCAAGGGAAGAAGAGGGCCCAGAATGCAATCAGTACAAAAAACAAAAACCTCATCTTGAGTTTTGGTGCTGGGAACATTAGACACAAACAACTAAGTAAAGGTAAAGGGACGACTCTGGGGTCGTGGTGCTCATCTCGCTTTATTGGCCGAGGGAGCCTGCGTACAGCTTCCAGGTCATGTAGCCAGCATGACTAAGCCGCTTCTGGCGAACCAGAGCAGCGCACGGAAACACCGTTTACCTTCCTGCTGGAGCGGTACCTATTTATCTACTTGCACTTTTGTGCTTTTTAACTGCTAGGTTGCCAGGAGCAGGGACCGAGCAATGGGAGCTCACCCTGTCACAGGGATTCAAACCGCCAACCTTCTGATCGGCAAGCCCTAGGCTCTGTGGTTTAACCCTCAGGTTATTTCACGCTGTCTTCCAGATGCCAAGATTTACAGACCATGACATTTTGAAATGCTCACAAAGGGCCACATGTTCTCCAACCTTGAAGGAAGAGGGGCCAGCACACTGCAGCACCCCACCCCCAGGAAAGCAACTGGTGTCCTTCCCTCAGGCTCCTACCTGGAACCAGATAGTCCTGCCGTTGGCATCACGCAGGGTCTGCATGCCTGGGACGAAATAGCACTGAGTCCACTCCAGGAACATGGTGTAATCAGACGTCCTAACGGGATCATAACCTTTGCCACCTATTGGGAAGAAGGCAAGGAGAAATGTGAGTGCAGGACTGCATCCCTATCAAGCTGTACATGGTAACCCTGTACAGTGGTACCTTGATTTAAGACCGTAATCCGTTCCGGAAGCCCGGTCTTTAAACAAAGCGGACTTAAAACAAGGTGTGCTTTCCCATAGAAAGTAATTGAAAATGGATTGATCCGTTCTAGACAATGAAAAACACCCCATTAAACAGCAATTTAACACAAATTTTACTGTCTAACAAGACCATTGATCCATAAAATGAAGGCAATAATCAATGTACTATAAAATAAATAACACAGCATTTGTAGATTGAAAAAATTAACATTTAATTTTTTTCTTACGTCCACTGATGATAGTCATTGTTTGGATGTGGGGCTTTTATCCATTTCTGCAGTCACACAGTCAACCAGTAGTTGAACTGGGTGCCACACAGTCACAAAAACAAGTCACAAGCCACAGTCACAGTCAAAAAACCGAAAAAGCCAGGCATACCAAAACGCAAAAGAATAGCAAAAACAAAACCTCCAAATATCACCTCTGTGTTGCACCCGGAGCACTCATTTCTGGGTTGCAATTGGACTTAGTCCAAAACGGACTTATAATAGACTTTAGTCAAGGTACCACTGTACCTATTTACTTGGGAGGAGAAGCAACAAGTTGAAGGGTAGCAAGGTTTGCCTCCACCCCTCCTCGAATTTCACTCCAACCCTGCAAATCCACTTAGATGCTTTAAAAAAAAATCAAGCAGTGTGTATACATTTTATGAAATAAAAATCCACCCATCCATCCCCCTCAAACCTACACACTTTTGCAGCTCTTGAATGATACACAGAATATGGAGGGGAAGCATTTTGGGTTGTCCTTAACCTCGTCCTTACCCAGATTCACAACCTCCATGGGCACCAGGTGACAGAGCTCCAGCAGGTCGGGGGTCTCCTGTTTCGGCTTCACCTTTTTCCTAGAGGTTAGTCCAGATGACTGCAAGGGGAAAGCCAGCAGTCAAGGAAGGCCGAGCAAAAGAGGACCCAGCTCAGGTGCTTTCCATACAGCCTTCATCCTTCCTCCAGGTTCTCTCATACATACATCCAAAGACTAATGTGCTAAAAATAAAACTCAATGGGAGTGCTGGGAAGCAGGGCTCCCTCCATTGGCGCCATCAGGCTTCCTCTCCCCTCAGCTCTCCCCTGGAGCCAGGCATCCCCCCAGGTGACCTCAGCAGGGCAGATAGGAAGCAGAAGGCTCGTGTCATCAGCTTTGCTGGAGGCCCAGCTCCATCGGTGTGATGGCTTGTGAATGCTCTTCGCAAGAAATGCCTCTGCTCACTCAGAGATACATAGAAACAGTCTTTATTTTACATATCTCTATGTGGGACAAGAAGCTACAGTTAGAACTGGATATGGAACAACTGATTGGTTCAAAATTGGGAAAGGAGTACGACAAGGCTGTATATGGTCCCCCTGCTTATTTAACTTATATGCAGAATTCATTATGCGAAAGGCTGGGCTGGATGAATCCCTAGCCAGAATTAAGATTGCCAGAAGAAATAACAACCTCAGATATGCAGATGACACAACCTTGATGGCAGAAAGTGAGGAGGAATTAAAGAACCTTTTATTGAGGGTGAAAGAGGAGAGCGCAAAATATGGTCTGAAGCTCAACATCAAAAAAACTAAGATCATGGCCACTGGTCCCATCACCTCCTGGCAAATAGAAGGGGAAGAAATTGAGGCAGTGAGAGATTTTGCTTTCTTGGGCTCCATGATCACTGCAGATGGTGACAGCAGCCACGAAATTAAAAGACGCCTGCTTCTTGGGAGAAAAACAATGACAAACCTAGACAGCATCTTAAAAAGCAGAGACATCACCTTGCCAACAAAGGCCCGTATAGTTAAAGCCATGGTTTTCCCAGTAGTGATGTATGGAAGTGAGAGCTGGACAATAAAGAAGGCTGATCGCCGAAGCATTGATGCATTTGAATTATGGTGCTGGAGGAGACTCTTGAGAGTCCCATGGACTGCAAGAAGATCAAACCTATCCATTCTGAAGGAAATCAGCCCTGAGTGCTCCCTGGAAGGACAGATCCTGAAGCTGAGGCTCCAATACTTTGGCCACCTCATGAGAAGAGAAGACTCCCTGGAAAAGACCCTGATGCTGGGAAAGGAGAAGGAGAAGGGGACGGCGGAGGACGAGATGGTGGGACAGTGTTATTGAAGCTACCAGAATGAGTTTGACCAAACTGTGGGAGGCAGTGGAAGACAGGGGGGCCTGGCGTGCTCTGGTCCAGGGGGTCACGAAGAGTCAGACACGACTAAACGACTAATCAACAGCAACACAGGCAGCGTATTACAATAATGCATCTGAATCCTCCGGCTCAGATTCTGGGAGTGGCTTACGCCAGCTTCTTCTCCAACAGAAAAAGCGGGGAAGTTTCACGTGATGCCTCTCCCCCCTCCTCTTTAACTCTCTCCTTTCCCTGGCAGACAGAATAGGCATTGTCTCACTGTCTGTGCCAGAACTTCCTGTGCGGTGCTGAGGCTCTGGTTCAACATCTGAGAGCCGTCCCACCTCCTGGCTCTCCCCTCCTTCCTCAATCGCCACTTCCTGCCCACCTCCCTCTGCCTGTTCCTGCTCCTCCCCTGCAATCTCTGGCAATACCATGACAACCAGGCACCTCCTGCCCCTGAACTGTGCCAGTCGCTCATGAGAGGAACTACAGTGGTACCTCTGGTTGCGAACGGGATCCATTCTGGAGGCCCGTTCGCAACATGAAAAAAGCGCAACCTGAAGCGCTGTATCTGTGCAGGTTTGCAGCGCAATTTAGCCCTTCTGCGCATGCGTGAGCAGCGAAACCCAGAAGTAACCCTTTCTGGTACTTCCAGGTCACCGCGGGACGTAACCTGAAAGAACGTAACACGAAGCAAAGGTAACATGAGATATGACTGTACTGTTTAGAAATTGGTGCCCGAGTTTGGGTTTTGATTTTCCTCTTCCCTCCCTGTTCCTTTTCCCTTGTGTGTGTGTGTGTTTTAGATTGTAAGCTGCTCTGGGAGCCTTTTTGACTGAGGAACCTGGCACAAGCGGCTCTAAATAAGTAAATAAAAAAAAGAGAAGCTATTCTCGTGAGTAAGCTGAATGCGTGAGTGAGGCTACGCCAAGTAGCTTTGCCCCACATCCCCACACCTTGCATGCCAGATAGTCTGGCCCCCTCATGTCCATGCAAACATCTGCAGAGATGCAGCCAAGGTTTCCATAATGTTTTGAGCCTTGCATGATCACAATTCCAGGTGATATCAATATGCACACAAAGGTTTTCTCCCTGCAAGCATGCACACTGAAGAAGGGCGTGGGAACATACGCACAGCCTGCTAGATCAGGCCAATGGCGGATATAGTCCAGCATCCTGTTCTCACTGCGGCCAACCAGATGCCTCTGGGAAACCTGCAAGCAGAACCTGAACACAAGGGCACTCTCCCTGCACTCCTGTGGCTTCCAGCCACTGGTATCCAGAATTAACAGTAGCCTTCAATAGCTCTCCCTTTATCTAATCCTCTTTCAAAGCCATCTAGGAGACAGTTCCATAATTTAACTATGCACCATGTGAAAAAGTACTTTATATTAACTGTCCCAAATCAGTTTCGTTGGATGTCCATGAATTCTAGTGTTACAAGAAATGGGGGAAAATGTTTCTCTGCTCATTACAGTCATTCTGGACTCACAGCTGTCCATGGAGGCTCAGGTCAATTCTGTGTCCAGGGCAGCTGTCTACCAGCTCCACCTGGTACACAGGCTAAGACCCTACCTGCCCGCAGACTGTCTCGCCAGAGTGGTGCATGCTCTGGTTATCTCCCGCTTGGACTATGCAATGTGCTCTATGTGGGGCTACGTTTGAAGGTGATCTGGAAACTACAACTAATCCAGAATGCGGCAGCTAGACTGGTGACTGGGAGCGGCCACTGAGACCACATAACTACAGTCTTGAAAGACCTACATTGGCTCCCAGTATGTTTCCGAGCACATCTCAAAGTGCTGGTGCTGACCTTTAAAGCCCTAAACGGCCTCAGCCCAGTATACCTAAAGGAGTGTCTCCACCTCCATCGTTCTACCTGGACACTGAGGTCCAGCTCCGAGGGCCTTCTTCTGGTGGTTCCCTCGCTACGAGAAGCCAAGTTACAGGGAACCAGGCAGAGGGCCTTCTCGGTAGTGGCACCCGTCCTGTGGAACACCCTCCCACCAGATGTCAAAGAGAAGAACAATTACCAGACTTTTAGAAGACATCTGAAGGCAGCCCTGTTTAGGGAAGCTTTTAATGTTTAATAGGCTATTGTATTATAGTGTTCTGTTGGAAGCCGCCCAGAGTGGCTGGGGAGGCCCAGCCAGATGGGAGGGGTATAAGTAATAAAAAATTATTATTATTATTATTATTATTACTTTTTTCTCCATGCTGTGCTTAATTTTATAAATGTCTTATCTTGTTGCCTCTTTCTTGCCTTTTCTCTAAACTAAAAAGTCCCGAACGTTGCGACCTTCCTTCGTAGGAGAGACACTCCACCCCCCCTGATCATTTTGGCTCCCCTTTTCTGAATCTTACCCAACTCTACAACATCCTTTTGGAGGTGCGGCTCCCAATTCCCCAGCCATTGGCTGAGGCAGCTGGAACCAATGGGAGCTGTGGTCCAGCGACACCCAAAGACCTAAAGCAGAAGGACAGTGACCTGTTCCACATGATGGAATGAGAAAGGTTGAGCAACAGAGCAAGAAAACTCCCTCCTTGCAAATAGGAAGCCTGCAGTCAGGAAGCAGGGTGCTAACTGGACCTGTGGTCTGATCCAGCGGTCTCCTCCCCGCGTCCTCTCACCTGTTCCTGGGGCTTCAGGTCCTCCAGAACAGTCCGTGCCTTCTCAAAGGGAGGGATTTTCAACCTGGAAGAGGCCACAGGAATGATTTCAAATGACTGCCAAAGAAGTGAGATTTCAGTGACACTGTGCAAATTTCATAAAATTTGATTTTTAAAAAGCCTCAAAAACGGTTTACAAGAAAAATACAACAATGAAGTTACCAATAAGAATTAACAACAATTTAAGACTTGCAAAAAGTCTTAATAAACTAAAAACAGGTTAAATTTTGCATCATACGCTACCTACCTGAGCACAACCCACCCAAGACAGCCCACGATATCAAACACAACGTAATTAACAACCGTTAAAGTAAGCCCCAATTGCAGCAATTTTTCAAAAAAGCACTTTTCAAAAGGCTAGTGAAAAACATGACACGACAGCAATGTCAGAACTCAAAAACTCTCCCTTTGAGGACAGCTCTTTAAAAGGCCTTGATGGTTAAAGAAAAGGGATGGTATCCATAATATACAAAATACTACTCCAAAATCCCACAAACCCCCTAGACACAATCAAAAAACAATGGGAGAATGACATAGGCTATGAGATCAACCCCACTCAATGGACCAGAATGTGGTCTAAACCCCCCTTTAAATCCATATCAACGAAAAGAAAAGAACTCACTCTGAAACTCACCTACAGGTGGTACCTAACACCAAGGAAACTAGCGCTAATACACCCAGGAAACTCACCAAAATGCTGGAGAGGGTGCACCTCCACAGGCACATACCTCCACAAGTGGTGGGAGTGCTCCAAAATCCAACTATTCTGGACAACAGCCAGTTATATGTAAAATAACTAAGCAAGTATTAGACATCACCCCAAAATTGGCCCTACTAAACATCTTCCAAGACAACAATGCCCATTTACACCACAAAGAATTCATAACCCACCTACTTTCAGCAGCCAGAAACACCATAACCAGACACTGGAGAGACCTGTCAGGAGTAAGCATGGACCAATGGTACCAAATAGTATGGGAAACAGCCCTACTAGAAAAATTAACCAATAAACTGAAACTGACACAGGGACAAACAGAAGAAGACGCCTTTACCCCAGTATGGCTCCCCTTTATCACATACACAGCCCAACAAGACAATGACAATAACCCACCAACAGCATACAAATCAATATGGCTAACCTGATCCAAAACACCCACCCACTCCACTCACACATGAAAACAAAGACCACCACAGCCAATCACAAACAAACAACCACACCCTAGGCCAACCCCAACCTCTCTCACCACCAAAGGAACACAAGTGAACAGCACAAGCAACGCTGACACCAAACCCTACATACATTAAGCATAATAGAAACATCTCCACCCACCCCCACCCATCTTCCCTCCCTCCAACCCCCTTTTTTCCCCCTCTCCCCCTAATGTCTCAACAAATGAAACGGATTTGTAAAAATGTTACATGGAAAAAATACGAGAGACATTACACTTACTTCTGTAAAACAAGAAAATCTTTAATAAAAATAAATAAATACATAAAAGAATATCTGCTTCAATTTTGCAGCATAGAGGTCATGTGCTGCTTCACAGAGAGGGAGTTGCACAAGGAGGAGGACACCACAGAAGAGGAGTCATCGCTTGCGCCCACGATTACAGTGGTGCCTCGCAAGACGAAATTAATCCGTTCCGCGAGTCTCTTCGTCTTGCGGTTTTTTCGTCTTGCGAAGCACGGCTATTAGTGGCTTAGCGGCTTTAAGAAAAAGGAAACAAACTCGCAAGAACTCGCAAGACGTTTCGTCTTGCAAAGCAAGCCCATAGGGAAATTCGTCTTGCGGAACGACTCAAAAAACGCAAAACCCTTTCGTCTAGCGAGTTTTTCGTCTTGCGAGGCATTCGTCTTGCGGGGCACCACTGTACAGAGGTTTCCAGGACCAGAGTGACCTGGGCAGGAATGTTCCCAGCCTGGCAGACTCTGCTCCCCGGGCACAAGCGAGAGTTAGACACCTGCTCACCTGTAGAGAATCTCAGCCCGGAGGTAATTGCCAACACCGTTGAAAAACTTCTGGTTTAGCAGAGCCTCGCAGATGGGCTTGTCAAAAGCCTTGTCCGAGAGGTTCCTCAGCACATTTTCCCTGGAAGAGAGGAGGGCTTGTTAAAAGGGCCGCTTAGCACCAGTCTTTTTTATCCGAAGGGCCACATCACAACCTAGCGGGGGGTTGGGGGCAAAGGCAAAAGTGGCCTGGCAAGCAAGAGGCATTATCCCAGTTCAAGGGCACATTCCAGCCCGAACAAAGGTCTCAAAGAGGTTGCTGAGAAGGGAAGCCTAGCGAGAGGAGCATGATTTGACAAGAGTCCCAAGGACCAGGTGAAGAGGGGACTGGATTTGGTGTGAGGCTCCCCAAGCCCTGGGCTTAACAGGAGCCTAAAGCTTTGCACAATCACATGCTGGAAACGAAATGGCAGTGTGACATAGTGGTTAGCGTGTTGGAGAGCAGGGTTCAAATCCTCACTCAGCTATGAAGCTTACTGGGTGACCCTGAGCCAGAATAACAGCTATGGGGACAGCAGCAGTGGGCCCACGGAGGAGCGTATGAAGTAAAGCCGGTTTTCCACATAGGCAAAGTGGTACTTCATACATTCTCATTTTGGAAACTAAGCGGGCTAAATTAGAGCCATTCATTTCCCCAGCCAATCACCAGGCAGAGCCTGCTGTTTCCCACACCAATCAAAACAAATCTATCTGATCCAGTCCCCACCTAGAAATATGGAGATCTTTTATATACAAATATATTTTAATTCTATTACTATTTCATTGGGTTATTTTTTTTTAATAACTACGGGGTTGCCCCCCCCCCAATGTTTTCAGCTGCTCCTATTTTATCTGTAAGCCGCCTCAAGTTCCTGTTGGGGAAAAGGTGGGGTATAAATAAATAAAGTCAGAACAAGACCACCTCCCATTTTTGAAGGGTCTTTTCTTTTCCCAAGATGTCAGGAGGAAGCCAGTTGCTTTCATAAATGAATGAGGGGGGCAGGCGAGAATTCTACCATGAACCACCAATAATTTTCTTAAGTCAATAAAAAATAAATTAAAAAATAAATAAATGAATGAGTGTGGATGTGACGAAAGGGGCAGCAGAGGAGGTGGGAAATTCACCCAAATTGAGGGGCCAAAACAACTTTACCAGCCCCAGATATTATGCCACTTTGGGGGGGGGGCAGGGGACACGATTTGCTGCTCAGCCTCAGGCGGCAAAGTGAGGAGATCCTCACCTGAACTTCTCATACTCCAGCATCACACAGGGCCCTCGGTCCACCTGCCAGGAACTGCTCACCTCCCATCGGCCAAATCGACGGAAGTCCACGAAGCAGAGGACACGGGGCGGGCTTCCTCGGGTGTAGAAGCGCAGATGCGCATGCTTTGGCATCTCGGACACGGGGACAAATTTGAAGTTGCCAGACATACCAAAACGGAAGATGATATCCATTGGCTCTTGAGCTGCCTGCTTCCCTCGGGCTGCAGAGACCCGCCTTTTGGACGGAGCGGGGCCCTCCTGTTTGAGCGGTGTGAGGGTGAGCCTCAGCTCCTTGCCCCTCGACACGGCCGAGATCAGGTACCTGTCGCTCTCAAAGGGCACCTCCGGGTTCTTGCTCACTTCCGACTTCTCCACTTTACCTGAGAAAAGGAGGCCCCCGCACTCCTCGTTGATGTACCGGCTGTTTAGGAACAATTCTGGACCTTCCGGCATCCTAAAGACGTGGAAGAGCTGAGATCGGAGACACGGCTGAAGGAGCAAGAGGGAAAAGGTGAGTTTTAAAAATGTTTCTTAAAGAGAAGGGTGGAGAGCCTCACACCTGGGGTCCCAATGCAGCCCTCTGGGTATCTGTATACAGTGGTACCTCTGGTTAAGTACTTAATTCGTTCCGGAGGTCCATTCTTAACCTGAAACTATTCTTAACCTGAAGCACCACTTTAGCTAATGGGGCCTCCCGCTGCTGCTGCTGCACGATTTCTGTTCTCATCCTGAAGCAAAGTTCTTAACCTGAGGTACTATTTCTGGGTTAGCGGAGTCTGTAACCTGAAGCGTCTGTAACCTGAAGCGTCTGTAACGCGAGGTACCACTGTATGGCCCGCAGGACTCTTCCCAGGCCACAATCCTCACTGGCCCCACTCTGCACCCTCCAGCAGTGCTTTTACCTGGCTGAAATGTGTCCTTCAATTTCTCGCTTGCCTAGAACGTGTAGAGACTTGCCCTACTGCACCAAAGTAAAAGGAAAGCTGTTGCTCCGCCCACTTCTGCCTCTGGCCCCGCCCACCACTGGCATGCACCCCCCCCAAAAAAAGGCTGAGAAGGGAATGTGGCCCCCACAGGCCCAGACAGAGGGGGTGGGGGCCATATGGGCCACTTGATTCCAAAGGGGGCCTCAGTCAGCATATTTATCTATATTTTCCATGTTGTCTTATATGCAAGCCTTGAAATAAAATTATTTGTCGGCATAACTTTTGTGAAAACTATTTATATACTTACTTATTTATAAGACCTATCCCCAGGGTAAAAAAAAGGGGGGACGACATTATCTACCTGCCTGGCTCTGCAAGGCCCTGGGCTGGAAAAGGTTCCCTGGCCCTGATCCGAAAAGGTGCGATTCCCAGGTGGGAGAAGAATGACGAACATCCATTAAAATATGCAGTTATGAAACAGAGAAAAGCAAACAAATGCAAACAGGAAGTCAGAGGTTAAAGTCGCAGAAGGGAAGCAACAACAAAGCATTAAAGGACTGAAATCAGAGGTTGGAAATCGAGGTGTAGCAGAGATGACAGGTGATAAACGGGGGTCTGGGAAGAGGCCACTCAGCCATCAATCTCACCTGGGGCCGCTGGCTGCCTCCCAGTCTGGGCATTAAGCAAAGAAGGAGGAAACCAAAGCGCATGGAGCTCCTCGGAGAGAAAAGCGGGATAGAATCGCAGTAAATAAATAAAATTAATTGAGGAAATGGCCAGCATAGAAATGCAGTATAGAACTCTGGAGGGGTTGGGGGGGGGGGAGACGCCTCTTTCCACTTACGGTGATGCGTTGCCAAAGCCTGGGAGAATTCTGTCCTGTTTGCTGCTTTTTAAAAAATATTCTGTACCACCAACAAGGACGCCCAGGACTCCCTCTCCACGGGACACGGCGTCTATTTGGGCTTTCCTTGAGTCCTCTACCGTTGCCAACCTTCAATAAAACCTTAAAAATAAAGCTATAACGCGTGCTAGACGGAAGGACAGGAGATGGCGGCGCCGGAGGAGGAGCGAAGGGAAAGGCGCTCTGCGTATGCCCAGAGGCTATCTTTGCGGCTTCTCCTTGAACCGCCCGAACGGCTGGCTGCGTAACCGGTTCCAAGGACGCAGCGCCCGCGCGCTTTTAGCCGCCTCTCCCTTTCCCTCCGAGGGCGCAGCTGCCCGGATGGAGCCCGGCTCCGACCCACGAGGGAATCCGCGCAAGAAGCGCCCCTGGGCGGGCGGAGAGGCGCGTGGCTCGTCGCTTGTCGCGCGGAGGCTGCGCTTGCAAGTCTCGGAGGGGAGGGCAGGCGCGCTTCCACGCCCACGCAGGGGAGGATCCGTGCCAGGACAGGAATCCGATTAGAGCTGGGGCGCGCCCGGCTCTGATCTCGAACTAGGGTGCCCCCGGGTGGTTTGGACTACGCCCCCCATCATCCCTGGCACTGGTCCTTGTTGCTAGGGATGATGGGAGTTGTAGTCCAGCAACACCTGGGGTAAGCTATGGTTTTCCCTGTCGTGATGTATGGAAGTGAGAGCTGGACCATCAAGAAGGCTGATCGCCGAAGAATTGATGCTTTTGAATTCTGGTGCTGGAGGAGACTCTTGAGAGTCCCATGGACTGCAAGAAGATCAAACGCATCCATTCTTAAGGAAATCAGCCCTGAGTGCTCACTGGAAGGACAGATCCTGAAGCTGAGGCTCCAATACTTTGGCCACCTCATGAGAAGAGAAGACTCCCTGGAAAAGACCCTGATGTTGGGAAAGATGGAGGGCACAAGGAGAAGGGGACGACAGAGGACGAGATGGTTGGACAGTGTTCTCGAAGCTACCAGCATGAGTTTGACCAAACTCCGGGAGGTAGTGGAAGACAGGAGTGCCTGGCGTGCTCTGGTCCATGGGGTCACGAAGAGGCGGACACGACTAAACGACTAAACAACAACAACACCTGGGGGTACCCAAGTTCGAGGAAAGCTGGAGAAACTTCTTCAGCCTGCGGAGTCTATGGAACTCGCTGCCACTGGAGGTGTGCGGTGGCGGCATGAAAAGATTAGACAAGGTCACGGAGGAGAAGGCTAGGGAGGGCTATTAGCCAAAAGGGCAACCCTCTGCTTCCCAGTACCGGTTGCTGGAAGCCACTGGAGGGGAGAGGGCAGCCCGTGTGTTCAGTTCCTGGTGGTGGGCGTCCCATCGTGGGCGCCTGGTTGGCCATGGTTAAGAAGAGCAGGCGGGGCCCGATCCAGAAGACTCTGCTTATCCTGCTCTTATGCTGTCCTTTTAAAGTACCCCAAGTTTATTCAGCATTAAGGACTTGTTTTTCTTTCATTTTCTTTAAAGTCAGGCAAGGGAAGGGATAAATAATGATGTGTTAGGCACCGATTCTGACTGGGTCCTTGTTCTTCTAATCCCCTGCTTGTTGGGAGATTCTTCAAGGAGGAGGGAGAACCATGCAAAGTATTGGAAGACACAAGATCTACCCACCCTGGAAGAATGGCAGATGAAGGTGATGGACTACATGGAATTGGTGGAGATGACTGGCAGAATCCGAGACCAGGGAGGAGAGTCAGTGGAAGATGATTGGAAGAAATTTAAAGACTACCTACAGAAATATTGTAAAATTAATGAATGTTAGAATGATGTTGGATAAAAAGTTAAGTGGTTTTTAGCTATAACGCTATAAGGAATATGAAAAAATGGATTTTTAACAGGTAAAAACTTAATGTTACAATATTTTAAGATTAAAGACTAGGATAAACAAAGAGGGAAAGGATTTGCTGAACTAAATAACTGATTTGGGATGCAAAAAAGGGAGGCGTGAGGAGGTCCGGGAAATAAGTGAATGAAGACATGATATGGAAATACTGATTTGCTTTTAATTGTTATTCTATTTTTTCTGGTTTTTGTATTTTATTTTCTCTTCTTCTATTTTTGTTTTTTCTTTTGTATTACTGTAATTTTCTTTGAAACTTTAATAAATATTTTTTTTAAAAAAAAAAAAAGGAGGAGGGGGAACCAATGGCCCCTTAAATTGTTCTGATATTTTGATCTTGCTGTAACCTGCCTTGCGACCATATGGTGGTTAAGAAGTCCCATTATTATTATTAACCATAGCCTGGTGTTGGAGCACCACCTTTGCCCACAGAAGGTCCCCGTTTTGACCGGGGGGGCGGGCAAGGGGGGACAATACAGCCACCCTCTGAAACCCTGGAGAGCCACAGCCACACAGTGTCAATGGTACAATGTGGACCAACCCTGACTCCATTTCAGGCAACTTCCTTTGCTCCTACTTGTTTCTTACTGAGAGCCAATCATCCTCATTGAGCTAAATGTGTATCATCCATGCACAAGTAGCAGGTATCTTGTTTTTGTAAACCACTTTGAGGGGGTTTTTTACAATTAAGTGTAAGAAATTTGCTCTCCTTCCCAAAGCCTGGCGCCTTGCTTAGCTGGTTTGTGGAAGGCAGTGCAAGGGCGTCAAATTTTGGCCTTGCTCTCCGCCTCCTCCTGCGTGACAATGCAGTGTATAACTCGCAAGTTCCATGTCCAAGTACAGTGGTACCTCAGGTTACATACGCTTCAGGTTACATACGCTTCAGGTTACAGACTCCACTAACTCAGAAATAGTACCTCGGATTAAGAACTTTGCTTCAGGATGAGAACAGAAATCGTGCTCCGGCGGCGCAGCGGGAGGCCCCCTTAGCTAAAGTGGTGCTTCAGGTTAAGAACAGTTTCAGGTTAAGAACGGACCTCTGGAACGAATTAAGTACTTAACCCGAGGTACCACTGTATTCTTGTGGCCCACTTCGCATGACAAGTTGGATTGCCTTGGCTCAGGGAACCCAAAAGTTTCCAAGTTTCCCTATGGGCTACTTTTTCCTCTATTTATCTATTGCATAAATAGTTCCACAGATCAAAGCAGTTGGGAAGGCAAATTGGAGTAAGGTGATCTCACAGGTATATGTTTTTCCTCCCATGCATTCTCGAGCTCAGAAGCCCTGGCCTTCCTTCGGAAGCTCAGCGGTTTTTGTCCCCTATAGAGACAGGACCTTTTCATACACAGGCATTGCTGTGGAATGCCCAGCACCTCTTCTGATTATTCAGGCTTCTGCTACAGAAATGTTCGTTTCTTACCAAATCTGCTTCTGCTTAATCTTTTTTTTTTTTTTACTGCTGAAGCCATCTCAAGTTGAGTTTTCATACTAAACAACAAACTCTATCTGTAAAATATTTGGGATTTCAGTCTTAAACCTTTGGTAACTGAACAATTCCTTCTCTTGTCACCAGAAATACTGTGTCTCCAGAGGGACTCAATAAAAACACTTGACAAAAAGTTCTGGGTGTAGTAAGATTTAATTTTCTCCTGTTCTGCAAAATATAGAAACATTACAAAGAGCAACCTTTGGGATTTAAAGATATGAAGGTTCAAGCACATGGAGAGATGTCGACACACATACCTTTCCATCCCTGTGATACAAAGAGCTTTCACAGGACACACACACACAAAATCAAGAATCTGGCAAAAGAGAGAGGACAGGCGATTTTGCCTTTCCTTCCACAATCCACACACAGATGGATTGCTGGAAAACAGAAGGAACAGGCCAGGTTTCTTCTACTTGGAGAAGACGGGCCTGTAGCCCTCCTGGTGTTGCCGGACTCCAACTCCCATCGGTCCCAGCCAGCACTGCCAGGGATGATGGGAGTTGTAGTCCAACAACATCTGGAGGGTTACAGGTCAATGTCCCTGCAATAGGGGAAGAAGGCTCTAAGAACACAGGAACAAGAAAGTCACGAATGGAAGTCTGTTGGGGCTTCCAACATTTGCAACAAAAGAACAGGGTAGGATGAGATTCTCCTGAGAGAATGAGGCAGGGTGATTTTGATTCCCACAATGGTCTTGTGGCGCCACTGTCACAAGGGCCAAGAAACCCTTGGGGTTCTCTAAGCTGCTGTGGGCATGACTCAAAGTGGGGTGGTCGTGCCATTTCTGAAACTCTCTCCTGGCGGGGGACAACGAAGTCCAGGACATCAGGGACACAGGTTCTATTCCAGTCCACACCCCGCTGCACCAACTTTCTGACTGCGAAGAGCTTTCAGTGAAATAAATTGTTTAAACAAACATGGACACCCGTCATTTGCATTCAGAAATATTACCCACCCTGGCCAGACAACCAAACAACGAGAACAGCCTTAGGCTTTGAACACAACGAGCCGGAAGAGAGGGATGGATTCTGGTAACAGCCTCTTTGCCCTGCAGTCACTGGAAAAAACTTGCTGGACGCAAGAAAAGGTCTCCCTCTCTCTGAAGCAACCGTCCAATTAAGATTTTTCAGCTTGCGGCAAAAGCTCATTCCAGCCACAGCACCATCCATCCTGGAAGCTCCTCAGTCGAGTGTCTTCATGACTGCTTCAGCCTGCTTCAGTTCTAGCAGCAGGAGAAGCAAAACAAAACAGGAAGGGGCAGAGGGTGAAAAAATTCATTATACATGGGGCTGCCTCTGAAGACTGCTCAGAAACTTCAGCTGGTGCAGAATTCAGTGGCCAGGGTGCTCAGTGAGGCAAGACTGCACTGGTTGCCTGGTACATGACCCCAGTCAAGCTTGCAAAAATTTACCATTTGCCCGATAATAATTGTTGTAAATGCAAAGAAAATGAAGGTACATTCTTTCACCTTTGGTGGACGTGCCCAAGGATTAAGGCTTTCTGGGAAATGATCTATAATGAACTGAAAAAGGTATTTAAATATACCTTCTTGAAGAAACCAGAGGCCTTTCTCCTGGGCATGGTCGGCCAATTGGTGTCAAAGAAGGATAGAACTTTCTTTATGTATGCTACAACAGCTGCAAGAATACTCATCGCAAAGTACTCATCGCAAAGTACTAAGACGCAAGATTTACCCACTCTGGAAGAATGGCAGATGAAGATGATTGACTGCATGGGATTGGCAGAAATGACTGGCAGGATCCGAGACCAGGGAGAAGAGTCGGCGGAAGAAGATTGGAAGAAATTTAAGGACTATTTACAGAAATATTGCAAAATTAATGAGTGTTGAACGATGTTGGATAGAAATTAAGGGGTTTATAGCTGTAATGCAATATGGGGGAAAAAAATAAGGGTATAAAAATAGGTTAAAATTATGGATAAGGATTTGCTGAACTAATAATCTGAATTGGAATACAAGACGGGGAGGTATGAGGAAGTCAGTGAAATATGTTATTGAAAAATAAGTATTGTGAACTTTATGTGTTTTTAAACCTTTTTGCTTTTTTCCTTTTTGATTTTTCTACTGTATTAAATTTGAAAACCTTAATAAATATCTTTTTTTAAAAAAAAAAAAGACTGCACTGGTTGCCAATTAGTTTCTGGGCCCAAGTGCTGGTCTCGACCCATAAAGCCTTAATGGCTCAGGACCGCAATAC